GTGACGTCACGTGTCAATCAAGTGATAATTATTCACAATTTCAAACCTCTAAATTATCTAAACGAGCGTATTGGCCTCAGCGCTCAGCCCAGGATGTTGCCGCTTGGTGCCAATGCATTGCATCGGGCTTATTAAGGCACCCATAATAAGCCCGAGCAATAATAATATAAGTGCCAATGCATTGCATGGGGCGGAGCCCCCAGCTGGCAAGGCACCCATAATAAAAATAAGCCCCCAACCCCCCCATAGTAACTGGATATTACCAGGGACATGTGATGAGCCTTTATTTTGAAAAAAAGCCCCCCCCAATAGTAATAGGATGCTACCAGGAAGTCTGTACAGAGCCTGGTTTTTCAAAATAAAACCCCCAGATGGTTACAGGATGTTCCCAGGGAGCCGGAAAAAGATCGGATTTTCAAAATAAAACTCCCAAATAGTGACAGGATGTCCCTAGGAAGTCTAAAAAAGGCTGGACCTTCAAAATAAAATGCCCAAATAGTTACAGAATGAGGGAAACATGTAATGAGCTGTTTGCGGTGTTTTTATTTTATTATATTTCCTGTGAGTAACTAATGGTTAAATGTTCCCTCTGCATAATCGGAAAACATCTCATCATCTGCTTTAGAGGAAACTTGTAGGCATAGAGCACAGAATGAATCACTCTACTGTATATATCCCTCGGTTATAAATAAAGTTGTAAGTACATTTTCTTCCCACTGCGGTTCTCTTTTCCTAACTTCTTAGTGTTTTTCCCGCTTGTCTTTCCTTCACCTCATGATGTTTTTCCATTGGGGTCATGGAATCCTGGTTAGGAAAGGATATATATATATTTAACCTTTTGACTGCCATGGCCTTTGTCCCTGTGTTTTTACTATTTCAGGGGAGAAGTGATCGATGATGATGATGATGATGATGCGTTTACTTGTATACTGTAACATTCACTTATATATGTTGTAATTATTACTTGAAGGTGAACGATCACTTCAACAACAATAAACACATCTAAATGTATTTGATAAAAACACATGGCTGGACATTGAAGTAGTTCAACTCTGCATCAGTGGGATTTCCTCTGTGTGATGATGATGATGATGATGATGGTATCACCCATGCACCGTGCACGTGAAGATCCTCACGTAGGCCCAGAGCTGCAGGACTGAGCTATGCCCTGCAGGCTGACATGACTTTAGTTGACGCCTCAGCATCACCGTCAGAGGCTGTAGACACAACCACGACGTCCTCCTATTGGATAAAGCAGCGCGTCAATCCTGGTGAAGCTGCGTTCTGATTGGAGGAAATCCACAGCGGGCCCGCCCCCCTCCTCTTGTCCTCTTCCTACATCTCTTGCGTGTGAGATCTGTTTCCTGCATCTCTGCCTGCAACATCTGGTGAGTCCTGCTCTCTGCCTGCAGACCAAACTCAAACATGACACTTCAACTCACATTCTCCTCACACACAGTTTGTTAGACCAGCCTGTCAAATGATTTCACATTCGCTTCTTTCGTGCGGTTACTGTTGTGTTGTGAAACAACAGAATGATGTGACTCAACAGTTGGTTGTTCCTGGAGTTGAAGTGGAAACTCCCTGTACAGCTCAGAGTTATTCAAACAGGCTGAACGAGAGAGTGCCTTCATGTGGGCCATTCTATTACTTCTACTTCAGTTGTACTGGATCTGAAGTACATGTTGACTTCTAAAAGTACATCAGTATAACCACAGAACTTAAGCTCCCACAGTAAAATACTCTGAAAGAAAGTTTTTGTTAGGTGTGTGTGCGCGCGCGCGTGTTTAATTCGTATATATATAAGTTGTGTTGTTTAATGTCTCTTGAGTGATTGTTACAGTAATGTGAAAAGTCGTCAGATACAGCACACATCGCAACACACATCATTATTGTAGTTATTATTATTCACTGCATTTCTTACTCAGAATTGTATAATGTAAGGGTCAAGTTACATTATAGTGGTAGTCTTATGTAAACATACACTAACACCGTAGAACAAAGTTGTGGGCTCTCCCCTGACATTTCCTTTGCACATGTGGAGAATACGGTTGAGAAATCTCGTGGTTTGATTTTTGTAAGACTGCACTATCCTGTGTCCATTCACTCAGAGGTACGTCACTATTGCTTTTCTTTCTCGTCTTGTCTCCAGTCAACATGACTCACGCGTATCCCTTCCTGAGTACTGAGCAAAAGAAGGAGCTCAGTGGCATCGCTCAGAGGATCATAGCCCCTGGGAAAGGCATCCTGGCAGCAGATGAATCCACAGGTACAGCAGCAGCAGGCGCAGACACACTGTGTGACCTGCCGAGGAGGAGGAAACAGTGATGAATGGCGTGCAACAGCCCCACACTCCTCCAACCACAGTCCAGTTCTCATTTCTCATACTCAGTAATCACACCAGAAATGATCAGAATCTGTTGGCAGGATGTTTCAGATTGAATATATTAGCTCAATGTAATCTGCTAGAGATGTAAAAGCACATACATACATACAGTTAAACTCATCCACCCCAGATGTAAATGTATGAAACAGACATATATGTAACCACTTGGAGTGCTCATTGAGACTAGTGTTGAAAGTGCTCTTAATCCACAATAGTGATATTTAATAACAAAGACGTGCTCAGAGTAAGTTTGTAGAAATTGTAGAGTTTATTCTGATCTCTACATTTATGGGTGTATCAAAGTATTTCTTAAGGTTATTTGCTCATTGGCCTCAAAAGGCCTGTATCTCCCTTTACCTGCTCCTGCTGAAACCTCTCGTAATATTCATGGGCTTAATTGCACAATAAACATTAAGCGATGCATTCTTCATCTTCATCATTGCGGCTGTTCTCATAGAAAAAGTGCTGCTCGTAGATGCAAATACTAAAATACACAATGTATTGTAAAGTGCTTTGAGCGTCATCAAGACTAGAAAAGCACAATATAGATACAGACCATTTACCATTTAGAGAAAAAGAGGCCAAGTTTCACAACATGTGTGTCAAACCATCTATTGTTACAACATTTTCTGTCTTCTTGAATTTTGGGACATAGTTGTGTCATGTTTGATTGAAACTTCCTTTTCTAGCTATGCAACACAAATGATCCTAGTGACTTTTAAAAGACAACAGTGTGTAAGATTGAGGTGAAAGGGATCTATTGGCAGAAATTTAATGTAGAATAATCCTACATTAGTTTCCACTAGTTCATTTCATCTAAATTGTATGAATTGTAGTTTTCTTTACCCCAGAAAAGACCCTTTATATTTAAATACTTTATATTTACATGGAGGGGACCCTCTCTACAGAGGCCGCCATGTTTTTTACATTAGTCCAGACTGAACAAACTAAACACCTTTTGAGTTTTTATGACAACTGAAGCTACCACAGTTTCTTTTTCATGTGTGGAAGGAGAGGGTGAGGTGAGGGGTGTTCAGCTGCAACATGACACTTCAACACTAGATATCACTAAATTCTACACACTGTACCTTTAAAGGACAACAGTGTATCGCGTTTGTCTGTCTCCACCTGTGTTTCCTCTAATGAACACTAAGTGAAAGAGCTTCAAAGATCTGGTCACCTGTACAAGCTGTGTTCAGACATGACCCTGGGGTAAAATCCGGAGAACTGGCTACGAGTTTACCCTCAGTTTGCTTTTCACACATGCACAAAACATTGGGAGGTTCTCTGCACAGACACGTTCACAGCAGCAACAAATCCTCTGCAATATTAAGGTGAGAGGTGGAGCAGCCGGGTGCAGCAGACAGAGGCAGTCCTGTTGTGATCTCCTCAAATTGAAAGGCAGATGTTTTTGGTGATATTTTGAATTTATATTTGTGAGAATGTGCTGTTTTTTATTGTTTTCAAATTGTATTTGATTTCTTGAAATCATCACAGGACCCCACATGAATGTCTCCTGACCCAAACAACCCCTTGTTTTAATTGTGTGTTGTGGCTTCTCCATCTGTATCTTTCTCTCTGTCTCCTCCAGGCAGCATGGCCAAGCGCTTTCAAAGCATCTCTGTAGAGAACACAGAGGAGAACAGGCGGCTTTACCGTCAACTCCTCTTCACTGCTGACAGCCAGGTAAACCCCTGCATCGGCGGAGTTATCTTCTTCCATGAGACGCTCTACCAAAAGTCAGATGGCGGCAAGCTCTTCCCCGAGCTGGTCAAAGAGAAGGGCATGGTGGTGGGCATCAAGGTAGACAAGGGCGTGGTTCCCCTGGCCGGCACTATTGGAGAGACCACAACTCAAGGTACGAAAGGGCTCCTCACCACAGTGAAGGCAAGATAACACTGTCATCACAAGCTGTTCTGTTGTTCTGCCACAATTGTGACCTCAGCATAGGTTATTGATTACTGAATGGATTTACAGTCAGCAGAATGTATAGTGGGAGGCTGGACAAATCACCAAACTATTAATGCTCACATTCACGCCTTCGGTCAATTTAGAGTCTCATATCAGCCGAACAGGAAGTCCTCTTGCTGTGAGGTGTAAGTGCTCACCGCTGTGTTTCTTAAAATGCTCTGCTAATATGCAGTGACCGATTGGAACTACTTCAGTCTGCATGTGGATGTCTGGTTCTGTTTCTTGCTTCTTGCCTCATGAATGTCCTCCACTCAGACCTTTGTGCTGTGTCTCCTCCAGGTCTGGACGGGCTCTATGAGCGATGTGCTGAGTACAAGAAGCACGGTGCCGACTTCGCCAAGTGGCGCTGCGTGTTAAAGATCACGCCAACCACCCCTTCCCAGCTGGCTATCATGGAGAACGCCAATGTGCTGGCCCGCTACGCCAGCATCTGCCAGATGGTGAGACACACACACACACACACACACACACCCACACACTCACATTCACACTCACACACGCACACACACAGACTCACACAGGTTTACACACACATTTACATTTCAATCTCTACAGCTCAGTCAGAGAAGCTGCTTCCTTAATGCATTGATGTAACACTCACATCAGTGACACAGCTCTAACTAACTGTGTGACAGTTGGTATGCCAGTCACTACCCCAAGAGAGGAAGTGCTGTTGTAATGAAGCTGGTTTGCTTTGTCTCCCTCCGCCCCCCAGCATGGCATTGTGCCCATTGTGGAGCCTGAGATTCTCCCAGATGGCGACCATGACCTGCAGCGCTGCCAGTATGTGACTGAGAAGGTGAGTGTTGAGAAAGTTTAACAGACCCAGCGGAGGAGGAGGGTAACTAAAAAGTGCTTCCCATAGATGCACTATATGAATGTGCGTGTGTGAATGGATGAATGGCAAAAACTGTGCACTTTGAGGGGTCATCAAGACTATCTACATACAGACCATTTAACTGCTGACAGCTGAGACAGACTGGTTGCGTTGTTCTCTATTGTTGCACCATCTCACTCTGTGTAAGGTCGTGAAAATGACATTACATTCTCAAAAACAGAGAATCTTGTATTACTGCAACAGGCACTGTGAGCGCAATTACTATTCAATGAAAACATAGCGCCCTATTCTTTTGTCTCATGGCAAACCGTACAAAGTGCAGTTAAATGTCTGGTGCGTTGGGAAGGTGTCTGTGCACACACGGTGACAGGATGCGTCTGGCACATTTGGAAACAGGGAGAGATTGAGATGTACTGGGTGTGTTTGCGGCAGGTTAACCAGTTATCGTTTAATTACTTGTATTTCATAGAATAAACTTACTTAAAGGGACAGATACATTTGTTTTATAATGGGAGACAGATTGCATTACAGTGCACATTCTCCTTAAAGGGAAGAATAAAGGAAGATTAAAACCATGTCTGGTTTGATAACTCGACCCCAGCCACTTCCCATCACGCTCCCTGAACCGTGGCACATGAAAATAGGTTTATATTGTTTCTATTGACTAGTAATTTCAAACTTATCCACAACAGCGTGTCCTCAGAGTCAGTGCAGACAAAGTGAAGCCAATTATGGAGGCTACATCCTGTGATCCAGTGGAATGTTTCATCTCTCATCCAGAGGCTTCTTCAGTTCAGTTCCACAGGTCTTGATAGTAGAGAATAGATTTAAATCTATTTATCCTGTTCTGTGTCGTGACTCTGTGATTACGTAAATACATGCGTTACCATATTATCACCACTAGAGGTGGAGTGGAATGTTCATGTGGGTGCGGGCCTCCTCTGGAGAAAAGAATTCCTCTAGAGACTGCCAACACAGCCTGCGACTAGCTGATGTCATGTAATAACCTGTGTTGTGCATGTCTTCACTAGTATTTCTTCATTGTTTTGAGGATCATGTTGTATCTGCTCTTTCATCAATGTGGATGTTTCCAAAGGCATTTGAAACAGATAACTGACAAAGCAACTTAAGATCACACCAAATTCACTTTAGTGTGATCTGTTAGTCCTAAATCCATTTAACAGGCTTTTTCACATGAAGTGAAATTGGAAGAGGGCAGAAGAAGTCAGGCACTGAAAAAATGTCCTATATTTGTTCAACTTAAACAACCGATCAAACACAAAGATACATGGATGATCTTTCTCTACACCTGGATATGTACCCTGGGATCAGTTTCATACCAGAATAGATCTGTGGTGTCTTAGATAAGGGTTAGGGATCCATTGTCTTTGGCACTTTTACACAACACCTTAATGTCACATTCATGTGTCTTCCACAACTGTGAGGTTACCACTGAGCTTTGCAACAACCCAAAACTTGTGTCATTTTTAGTTATGATAACTGAAAATGTTATGTAAACTAAACTAAACTATCTGCTTCCGGCAAAAGTTTTGTTTTAAAAATCATCTTCAAGTCAAAATAAGCTTTAAAAAATCAAAATGTTTGAAATTAAAAACTTTCTGATAAGAACAGATCAGATAAAAAAAAACAACCTAAAATGTTGCCTTGATAGAAAATATTTCTTTTTGATTTTGCTTGTTGCAGTGTGCTCCTGCCACTGACATCATCGAACTGCAGTTCACCATAAAGAGCTAAAAGAATAAGTAGATTAAAGGTTAAGTGTGCAAGATTTAGGGATCTATTGGTAGAAATTGAATAAAAAAAATATCTTGTGATGTTTTCACTAGTGTGTAATTATCTAAATGTACAAATAGTTTTCTTTACCCTAGAATAAGCCCTTTATATTTAAATACTTGATATTTACATCGGGAGCAGTTCCTCTCTATGGAGGCCACCATGTTTTTTTACAGTAGACCAGACTGGACAAACTAAAAAACTTTTGAGTTATGACAACTGAAGCTACCACAGGTTCTCTGTCATGTTTGGAAGGGGTATCCAACTGCAACATGCAACTTCACCACAAGATGTCACTAAATTCTACACATTGAACCTTTTTCAGTCATATTTCATGGAGGTGAGGGACTGGTAGTCAGGTACAGCGGTCGTCCTTCGGGCACAATGTGAATCTGTGACTGTGTTTATGGAATGTGTTCCGCTCTGTGTCAGGTGCTGGCAGCTGTGTATAAGGCACTGTCCGACCACCACGTCTACCTGGAAGGGACGCTGCTCAAGCCCAACATGGTAACTGCTGGACACTCCTGCCCCAAAAAGTTCAGCCCTCAAGAGATCGCCCTGGCAACTGTCACCGCCCTGCGTCGCTCTGTACCCCCGGCCGTGCCAGGTGACATGAATACACAACATGCACACTTGGTTATTACAAATATACCTTATTCTCACCTGACCCTCCTTCTGTACGTCTTTCTCCCCCAGGTGTGACCTTTCTGTCTGGAGGCCAGAGTGAGGAGGAGGCCACCATTAACCTAAATGCAATCAACCAGTGTCCCCTGCCCCGGCCCTGGGCCCTCACCTTCTCCTTCGGCCGAGCCCTGCAGGCCTCAGCATTGAAGGCCTGGGGAGGCAAGAAGGAAAAAGGCAAAGCCTGTCAGGAGGAGTACATCAAGAGAGCCCTGGTGAGGAGGGAGGGAGGGAGGGAGGGAGGGGGAAGGAGATTTAAAGATGGCAGTCAGGCAGAGATGACAGAGGAACCAGTGAATTTCAAACAGTATCTGATGAAGGAAGGGAATAAAGGGAATTTGGAACTCTCTGTGATTGTCTCTTGTGTCGCTAAGAAACTGCTTTAGAAGGTTTTCAGAACACAAAAGTGTCACAGGTCACAGCTCAGTACTGCTGTCGCTAAAGGACAGCAGTGAGGGATTACAGTTGAAAAGTCAAAGATTAAAAATTGAAGTGACATTTTCAGCACTTTTCACACATGAACTCTGGCGGAGAGAGTGTTCGCACAATGGGGTCCGGAGTCGTGCTGTTATTCGAGGAATTAGGCTGTAGTAACAACTTTGTTGACTGGTGAAGGCAAACAAAAAGTGATTCTCCTTAATATACTCCAAATAGGCAAGTAAGAGCATGTCAAAATTAAACTTAAGTAAAACACTTGGGTATTGTAGTGGGACTTCGTCGTGACCAAATAAACGAGCATACATGTGTATGCTCGTTTATTTGGTCCAGTGTTTTTCAGTCATACAGTTCCGAACTATTTGTGTAAAATCCTGACAGAGAAATAAACTGAGCTTTGCTTCGTGTTTCCACACAGAACAACAGCAAGGCAGCTCTGGGGACTTATCTGTCCTCTGGACAGAAAGGAGCAGCAGCTCAGGAGTCTCTGTTTGTGGCAGACCACGCCTACTGAAGTGTGGCCCCACCCAACACACTTCATCCTCATTCCCACCATTGTCCTGGAGGAAGAGGCTGAGAGTTAATAAACAGCCCTCCAACGTTTTCCACTGGTGATGAGAGCCTTACAAGTTTCTGTGCATGATGATTTGAAAAAGAGGAATACAAAAGCCATAGATGTGTTCTACCCTTGAAATTGACCTGACGTGAGTGTGATGTCACTTTATTGTGTTTGTAAATAGAAAGAGTTCCTCTGCAGTGTCCTTCTCCTGTGGCTCCTGACATTGTCTTAATCATTTCTAAGAACATGTGCCTTCATTTCTCAACTGAAGCCATGATGAAAAGACATTGCAGAGGATCTTATGATACACAAACAGCAAGTAAACACTGGAAAGATCACATTAAAATAATAAATCACTAACTACATCCTGTGTTGTTGTCTACATTGATTTATGTCTCCATAGTGATTCTTAAATACTGAGGCCATGGTGCCCTGTTCTATGATCCTTTACACCAGTGGTCGCCAACATGACGATTGCGATCTACCGGTTGATCTCTGTAACTCTCTGGACTCACAGTCTGTGGTTGCGTGGCAGATCAGCTGTGGATCGGTTGTCTGTTGTTAACACCCGCCGTGTGTCCACTACTGTCGGCGGAGCAGCAGGTTTATATCCTGCATTTCCTTCAATACAAGTCGGATTATGCACTGAACTAAATGTACGGACTCTACGGTATGAAGTCCTGCATCTTCTGGTCTGTTGACAACTATCAAACCCCTGTTAGACCAAATGAAGTGAAACGCTGGAGTGCTTTTACTTTGAAACAGGTTCAATAAGAGTTGTAAATACATTTGTGACATAGATCAACTTTGTGTTTCACTGCAGAATAAAATGATCTTTCACCTGTTTGAATGTTTATCTGTTGAATTTATGTCACAAACACAAAAGAAAAGCACTCCAGCGTTTCTGTTGACCAAATCCATTCTTTTGTTTAAAAAGTTTTTTATTGTAAAATATTTGCAGGAGCTGAAGATGCATGAATTCATACTGAAATAATAAATATGACCCTCCTAAGTGGGTTTTTTGCAAGACATCGGGGTGGTAGATCTCGGCTCACGTTTTGAATTAACAAGTGATCCTGTGCTTTAAAAGGTTGGTGACCGCTGCTTTACACTAACATAATTCTATCAAGTTCCATGTTTGTTCTTCTGTTTGTGGCAGTGGGCTGTGGTTTAGGGAAACCAGTATCAAACAGCATTTTCATCTGACACGTAAAAGCAACTTTGAGCTCAGTTTAAGCTGATGATTCTGTCAAAATAAGCTTAGGTTCATCTTAAGGGCAACTTTATCCGATTCATGGTGAAGATACTGTACAAGGTCTTCTCCACACAAGTGATGCAAAGGAAATGTGAGTCACGTTAAATACAGAATGTACTTTCCATCAGAGGGTTCCAAATCTTTTCAATCCCCAACAACAAAAATAAAAATGGTGCCAGACTTGTGACCCCCACCAATTCTAGAGATGTATGAATCAAAAGATATTGATTTGATGGTTGTAATATGCCATTTCTGATTAAGTCAAATGTGAATGTTAATTATATTTCAGAACAATTAGGCCCACTTTTTTCTTTACAGCTTCATCAATGTGGAACTAGAATGGCTCTCAGTGGACCTCATGTCCCGCCAAGGTCCAACAGTTTCTTGAATTCAATCAAGCTGCACCAAATTGCACTTTCATAGATGTAATTTTCTTAAATGTGCCTGATATTTTCAATATGTACCTTGTTTTCCTCTAGGAAAACTGACTTTCTGAAAGAGAAAAATCCTAGACCCCACCTGATTCTGAGTTCTTCCCTGACCCATGCTACATCCCTCCATCAGGTTTTGAGGGAATCCATTCAGTTTGTTTTTGTAATCTTGCTTACAAACCAACAAACAAGCCATCAGGGGTAAAAACAAGTAATCAGCCTTAAGCTGTGGTTCTTCATTCTGCCAACATCATGCAAGAAATATTCTCCTTCAAGGTGCTGCACTTCTACTTCTGTTTAGTAAAAGATGAACTAGGAAAAAAGCTGTGAGTTAGTATCATATACTATTCAAACAATATATGAACTAACTGTATTCAGCATTGACTTGGGGCAGATGTGACACCTTTTAAATGTAGTCAACACTTGATAATGTTACTCTATGTTTGGTGAACTCAACTTTTTATGAGTGAGGAACAGAAATCTGTCTCTATACTGATCTGTCAGCTGGAGCATTTTTAAATCCAACCTCAGTTAGGATGAGGTGATGTCTACAGAAGCAGTTTGGGCTGTGGTGTGAATGACGCAGCAGCAGCACTGAAGACACAATGTTTAATCCATAGAATGAAATGTACATACAGTGGATACAGTGGGGCGCCATCTTACCTCATTTCTGTCCCAAATCACTAAGTTCCAGCAAAACCAACAATGGAGGTAACATGTAAAAAACGACAGAGGTGTACGTTTGGGCAGGCGCTTTTATTTTAAAACCTTGTTTGTGTTAATGAGGCCTCCAGCGTGTGAGCAGAACAAAGTGCTTATCCTACCAGTAAACCTGCAGCATAAGTGCTGCACTTTCATCAAATAACATTTTCATCTTGTCAAAAACCTCCACAACATCAGACTAACGAAAGGTTTCATTCCCTGTATCATCATACAGGGACGGCAGATCAACCGAGAATTATAGAGTCTTTATATTGTGTCGCTTCTGTCTTCAGCTGAGAAACTGAGGGCGGTGTGGTTGGTTTATGGGTCATTCCTCTCTTTCAGCAGAGTCAGCGTGCAGACGACAAAGAGGACGTCCTCCTCACATGTTGGTGCTCATCCTGGTCTGGCTATTGGCTGGTGTCAGCTCACCCTGGCTGCCCTCTCTGGGTGGAGACTGAGGAGAGGAGACAATATGAGTGAGGCACTCCAACATTTGTTTGTTATTTGGTGTCTGCTGTGTCACAGAGTTTCTACTCAACGAAGCTGCACCTATCATTCGTGTTTATCCATATGGTTTTAGATTTAAAACTCCAGGGCCAAATCTTTATTTTACTTACCTTCACGTGGATCTGGTTGCGCAGCACAGCAGCTCGGAGGATCATGGCTTTTGCTCGTCTCTGGAACTCTTTGCCCATGTGGAGTGACTTCTCAAACGTGGTGCTCCTCTGGTCCACGTCCCTCGCATACAGAATCTATCACAATGAAAGAGCACCGGTTTATAGGGACTCATATGAGAAGTGACTCATTTCAACATTTTTCATATGTGTGGGTTCTTCACCTTGCTGTGGGAGTCAATCCGTGCATTGATTAGCCCCTCCAGTATGAGCTGGGTGAGCTCGTCCTCCAGAGCTGCTACTGTGGTGTTGAAGGCCTGAGCCATCTTAGTCATGTCTGCTGACACGTAGGGGCTGAAATACTGAAAACACAGACACACACGTTTGTCTTTCTGTGGTTGTGAGGACACTAACTGACATCATGCATTCCTTAGCCCTTTTACCCTGATGTTAACCAATCAGAACTAAATGTCTAACTCTAAACCTCAAAAAGCCCTTGTAAGTTGAGAAATTTAAAATACTCGATATCAGACCAACCCTAAATCAAAGAAGAAAGAAGCGTCATCATTTTAAAATATATTATTAACACTGATATAAAGCTGTGTGGATGTGATCAACCCTCTCATGTACTAAAGTGATCCCCTCTCTGTTTTATAGGTAGGAAGGCAGAGTCTGTCTCACCTGAATGAGGGCTCTGTTCCTGATCTGGCTGTACAGTGTCTTGACATGTGGGGCCAGGTACATGTCCAGCAGGAGGTTATCCTGGAGGAAACATCACAGTCACTCATCTCAATACAGACCGTATCGAAAAATACATACTCCACACAGTGTAGTTGCAACACAGAGTTTTCTGCTCCAACCTTCATTTCATCCAGTAGCTTGAGGCAGGACGCGTACTTCGACTCATAAAACTTGAAGATGATGTCACGGATCTGAGGTTCCAACTCTAGAAATAACTTAAAGGAGCTGAGGACAGAAAGAAAAAGATTTCATTCATTACATGCAGAGTGATATGTTTAAGTTGCTATTTACTTAACTGCCGGCTCCTACCTGCTGGAGATGACGTTACGCTGGAGCTCCTGTCTGTCAAATGTGGCCAAAGCACACATGCCCCCATATACTGCAACATTACTGGGGGACAGGAGCTGCAAGGCAGAAGCACATATGCACAGAGACACACACACGTTTAATCAGGTTTTTAACATGCTTTGAAGAACTTTATGAATATTATTAGCATTCAAGGATGAAGATTTAGAGTATGAAGCTACACAAAACAATAATACAAGGTGAACTAAGTAAAGTGAAGAAAGTACAAGTATCAAAAAAACTATTTACAGTACACTATGACCTCACATACTGTACAATGAGTACTTCCCCTGTCTAACACTAAATGTGTTTTATTCCTAGGGTGTGATTATCAAACCCTTCTGACAAAGAAATGTAGTTGAAGCTTGATATTTTACAGTTTGACCATACATTTTTATTATAAATGACTATAAATTAAAAAAAACACACACAGAAAGTGATTGTTACATAAAATGTAAAGATTAAATGCACATCTTTTCTACACTGTTTATTCTGTAAGATAAAAGTTTTAAACACAGATACTGAAATGTCTGTGAAAGGCTCATATTGGCCCATTTCTATTGACCAACTGATAAATCTGGCTTGGTGCACTGAGAAGCCTCCAACTACTACTTCACCTACTGGCCTGAATTTTGACTTTCACCTGCTCCTGACCAGATATAATAGTTATGCCTGCTCTTCACAAGAAGTAGCCTTAAACCTAGATGGTGAAACTGACCTAACCATCCACAGTCCTCGCTCTACGTAATCTTCAGCCAAAGGTAGGGTCAGACTTGAGCAGTCTGACTAAGTACTACTTGATATTTAACAGCCTATTTCATGCAATGTTGGAAAAGTAACACTAACAATTCAAATGCAATTTGGAGTATTTTTGCACTAAACTGTTAATTTTGGCTGCATCCACAGTTTTTGAGCCTCTCACAGACTTTGGAAACTGACATTTCTTTCACATGTTTTTTTTTCTCGTACCATTGGACCCACTGGCTGACTCACCTCTGGACAGTCACAGTGGTCAAAGGACGCCTGCAGGAAGCACTTGGCAGCTGGTTTGTATTTTCTTGAGGCCAATTCTGCAAGGCCTGACCCACATGAAAAACAGAATTAGACTTCAAAACAATCTAATAATATATTCAACTATATAGTCCAAAAATGGACTTGAGGTTGTACTGGGTGAGCATAAGCGCTGTCTTACCTGCAGCGCACTTTAATTTGGTGAGGACTGCTTGATTTTGGCTATCTCGCTCTCCTCTTTGCTAAAGAAGAAGAACAGAAATGGCAT